TTTTTTAAAGAAGGTAGGATTTGATAATATGTATAATGGAAAGTTCATTATTCTAAGCGTTACGATTTTTTTTGAGCGACACTTGAATATAAGGCCATAGCATAAATTTTTTTGTTGCCTCTTAGCAGGCCTGTTTTGTAAGAACAATGCTAGAATTTCCTTTCATTGCCCTAAGACTAGCAAGAGGCAAGCATTGGTGTTATAAAGTGTTTTGAATCTGACTAAATTGGTTAATTGGATCCCCTGTCAATCGTTTTGCGCGTTCGCAAGCAGATCTTTTAGCAAGCTGTGAGACCTCTGATCAATGAAATAGCAGAGATGAGCATTCCACCTCACAAAATTTGTAAAAATCTTTTCAGCTTCAGTATATTCTATACTCTACAAATTTAGAGAAAGTTAGAATTTTGACTTTGCGCGAGATCACTAATAATCTTGAATGGCCATCGGTATAAATCAGTATGTGTGCAACAATCAAATACTTGTAGCTCCCATAGAAGGAAAAGCAAAACATGATTCGAACACAGAGGCATACGGTTCAGATGATTACATGGACAGTCATTCATCGAAACATGAAGGTTCGTCAATGATGCTTATTCTATCAAATTTTTAGACCGTTTGTGTATGCGTGTTCCTGCCATGTATTAGTCATTGCTACGCGCTTCTTCTTCACATTCAATTATTGTTGTAAGTTTCAGAAATGGATGTCACAGTGAATGCAGCTGTCATAGATGATGATGAAAGTGGTAATGAAGCAGGAAGTTCGGGAGAAGATATGGCAGAGCTTGACTACGAGAGTGATTGTGAGCACACGTCATTTCTAGAATTTTCTTCACCGTTTGATTTTGCTTTTGCACTTTTTCTTCAAATATTATCACTTTGGGGCGAGAAGGAGGGGAGGGGAGTACTTTGACATGTTGGTCACGAAAATCATACTCATTCCTCGCAATGAAACCATAATATAGAAAGGTTGTTGAAATTATCAAAGGTCCCTCTGATTGTAGGGGTAGCTTGACCTTGATCCCGACAAGCATTATCGTAATTTACGGTGGCAGCGATTGATCAAAATTGTGTATTCCGGGATTTTCTGATTGCTAAGCATAAAAACTAGGATGTGGTGTTTGAAAAAC